TTCCTCAGTTGTCCTTTATTTCTAATTTGTTAGGTAGTTTCATTTATGGTGTTACATTTTTTTTTTTTGGTATAACTTGTAATTCTGTCTGTATGCTCAGTATTGGGAGGAATTTTCTGTCAGGGTCTTCAGGTGTACTGGTTGGTATAAGGTTCCCCTATGGGACAGTTCCTTATTGGTTTCTGAAAGGGTGATATGAGGCTTCTGTATTAATATCTTGGCACAGTGGTTCCCAGAAAATGAAGGTAGTTGGAAAAAGTCTATCCCATATTAGTGGAATGCTTAGTCTAGAGTTTCTTATTTTGAAGGTTTACTCTATCTCCACTCATATTCTGGGCAAGCTAAGGGCTTTACTGGTAGATCCTATTTTTCCAGGCTCCTGGCTCCCTCAGGGATCTAGTTCTAGGTTCTCTACCATGCATGAGGCCTATATCTTCAGCACACATCATCACACAAACTCTAAACCCGCAGCCCCCTAAAAGAAATTCCTATTTGAAATTCTCTCTTCCCCCAACCACCATCATTGACTGTCCCTAACTGCTATGGAATTCTTAATTTTTTTTGACAGTTGAAATTTCTCCTTTTGCTTTTGAGCTTGGAAATATATGAAAAACATTTTAAAAACATTTCTATGCTTGAGGTAAAAGGCAATACTTAATTGCCCCTTAGGTCAGTCTACCATTATATTTGACTGTTTCTATTTAAGCTTTAAATCCATTGTATTTTGGTTTCCTGCCCCATTTCATTAAAAACGTTTCTGCTATGATCTCAACTCGCCAAGTAGTCATGAAAGCCAATGAGCCTTTTCCAGTGTTTATCTTTATAGTGTCCAACATATGATGCTGCTCTTCACTTCTCTCCCTCTAAGCTTCTACAGAACCACTTCTCCCAGGTCTTCTACTTCAGAACTTTTTCTCGGTCTCCTTTGAAAATGACAAAGTGGTCATTTCTAATCTCTGGCTCCATACAGAAGTTTCTTTTGGGGGCTAGACATGTCTGTCCAACTGCCTACTTAATATTTCTCTGCAATCTCCTTCAGATACAAGATAGAATACAATTTTCCCCAAATGTGTTTAAGAAGTGAAGAAGAGTAGAGTGACATCATTATTGATCATGAACTTCTAAGTCCAGAGAAATTCTACACAAATAGAGAATAGTGGTTTGGATATGGCAATGAGGACCCAAGTGTATTCTCATCTCAACTTCTGACTTCTATGTGCATGGACCATGGCAGGATAAATATCTTCCAAAGAACCGGGTTCCCCAAGACCCCAAGACCTTAGGGAAGAACCAAGTCTCAGTTAAGAGGAGGCAGGAAAGTCTTCAGTGAAGAGATCAAATTTAATTATAGTTTATTTACATAAAAAGCAAGATTAGGCAGCACAATGGGGAGAGGAATGCAGTCAAAAAGAAAAAAAAATCACAAAGAAAATAATTATCCACGAAGTATTTTGTTCAGTTTCTTGAGAGCAGGTGCCAGTCACAACCCATTTTTTTCTTCCTTAGAACTTATCAAGCATGCTAGAGCATGCTTGATTGTGCATTTTTTTAAATCATAAAATGAAGCTTTATAAATGACTTTTAATTATTTTACACTAGGGGGAGGAGTATGGTAAATGATCCTTTTCTCTTTTGATAACAGGAAGTGAGAAAGGATGATAATTGCTTTGGGCACTTAGGAAGGAAATAATCAGATTCTACAAACACTTAAAGATGCCTATTGGGTTAGCCACACTGGCTGGAACACTCACATAGTGCATCCTTTCCCCTGTCATTAAATTTGTGGGCTAGAATTCCCACTGAGGAGATTCATTCCCTTTCCTCAGCATTTGTGAGCATTATCTGTAATGCAGAACGGGGTTTTCCAATGGATATAGTTTGCCTGACACACTTCTTATAAGCCTATTAGAAGTTAATAAAAAACTACATGTAATAAACAATAAATCAGTGAAAGGGTTGTAGAAACAGAAATTTCCCATGCTGTGAATTCCTCCACTTTTAGATATGTCACTCCTGGTGGTTGAGTATTGAAATCACCACTTTGTCCAGTTTCTCTTCCTCTTATGTGGTTAAGGAGGAAAAGCCCTGTCTTGCCCCTTCTGGTTCCCTGATCTTTTAGGACTCACTAGCAACTCTCCTCTATGTCTTGGGGGACCCAAGTGTATTCTAAAATCTTTCACCCATACCTCATGGTCTTCATGACAGAAAAAATGCAGTTTCTGGCTGTATGACACCACTTGTCCCTTCTGGTATGTGGCGTTGCCATCCTCTTCTTGTGATAGATTTTCTTGTTGCTGAGCAGATTTTTCTTGTCCTCTCTTGGACTCTTTCCCCAGCTGATCTACAGATACTCATCTCTGTCTTTTCTCTGCATTCTGCATTCTGCATCCATCGCTATCTACTCCTTTTGTGAATTCACTCGTTGTAGCACAGTTTCATTACATTCATGAGAACAAAGATGGCTCAAGTTTGTCTTTACTTCAAGAAGCCCACAATCTATTGTACAACACAGTCATAAATGTGTGTTTTGCTGAGGGAAACGAGAAGAGGAGAAAAGGAAGCCTAGAAAAATTGTGGAGTCAAATTTCTGGAGCTTTTCTTTCAGACTCTGCATCTTTCTAGGTGGAAGCTCTAGGCACTTACAGAAGTCCAACTGCAACTCTGGTGAATTATTTATAGCCGTCCCTTTGATGAAAATGACTGTCATACGAAAGTACAGGACCTCTCAGCAGGCTTACCAAGGTACACTCTATATTGTGAATCCTTCACAAATGTGTTACCAAATTTTGACAAATTTGTAAGATGAAAATGTTCTCTCAGTGTCTTAAGTTACAGGGATAGATCCCAGACAGAAGTTCAAGTTCAGGAGGCGCTGAGATTGAATGTAGAGGAGGGAACAGAAGGTGGCAAGTAAGAGATGAGAAGCACAGCATCCTGCCAAACCAGCACCTGGAATGATGGAGTGTTCACTGGAATGTGTGCAAGCTGTTCCTGTAAATCTCCCTGAGAACAGGGATGGGGAAGAATGTGATTCTATTCATAAGGTGAGATACGTTGAGGTGAGCTGAGAGAATGGGGGAATGGCTGGAGGTTACAGGTTGAGAACCACAGTACTACTACATATGAAAAGGAAGGCATCTCCTTGACCCTTTTGCTTATCCAGTACTACAAAGGTGTAAAGTATCCAACATATGATGAGGCTTTCACATCTCTCATTTCAAGCAATTATCATCTGTTTTTTTAATCTAAGCCATAGTATGTAGGAACTCATTAAAATCTAAGTTTTATTAACTCTTTATGACAACTTCCCAACCCCCATTCTTTATCTTCCTTTCATAAACAGGATTATGAAGTTACTGATAAGTTTTTAATATCATCCTGAAAAATCTCCCCTCGGGCATAGATAACACAACCTTAAGAGCCTTATTCAAGTCAACCTAAACAAATAAAGCGGATAGACACCAAATCAGCTGAACTCTGCACCAAATACATTCCAGAGTCAAATTCTATTCAACCACCCAGTTATCTTGCTTGTAATAGAACAAAGGACCACTAGACGGAGCTAGGGTTTAAGAAATCACGGCTCTAAACTGGGTGCCTGGTATGATGGGTAGAACGTTATCCTAGGGAAGAAGAGTAGCATCACTTTCATTTCAAAGTCCTATACCAGCTGTACCTAACTGCTAACAGAAGTCATCTGCTTACAAGTAGACAAAGGATGATATTTGTAATGGCCCAATTTATTTGGTCACTCCAATGATGATGTCCGACCTTGGTATAGCACTTTAAATTAGAATGCTGTTCCCTACGTAATCTCCTTTGTTCTTCACAGCATCTCTGAGAGATGGCTGGGAAGGAATTCTTTGATTTTTGGGATTGGCAAACTGAGGCAGAATGTCTTTGCAGTACATTGGGATACATCAGGATGGTAAACCCAGACAACTGGGCTTACAGGGTCAGTTTTGCCCTTTTTACATTTTCCTGTGGACTATCGACACAGTCTAGAAGTAACTAGTAAACTATCAACTCATCACTCATGCGGGGCATACTGTTTAGTCTCCTGTCACACCCAGTCATACAGTAAAAAGGCAGGATATGTGCAAGTAGAAATCCCCCAAAATAAATGAACAAAGGATGATTGTCTTGGCTCCTGTCTAGACACTTCAGGCACATGTGAAGGGGGCAGGTGTGAAGACCAGTACCTGCCTCCTTCTGTGCACGGTGAACTGCCCTTCAAGCGAAGGCTACGGTTGAACAAAGTTTGTGAAGCTGCCCTCAAGCATCTACCCTCGCAGACAAGTCCATTGCTTTGATGTTTGTCAGGCAGTTTGTTTCCTACTGACTGTAAGAAGTTGTTTTTTAACTATGTTACGTAATGCTCATGTACTTTCTTAGTATTTTGGTAAATTATTTGCTGGATAAGAATGGGCCCAAGATCAATCAGTCAGGAAACTTATTCAGTGTCAGGATGTGGCTTGTGTGCAGATAGTAAAGACAACTCAAGACACCTGTGATGAAGCTGTCAGTCACTTTGCAAGTCTGCCCTCTTCCAATATGATTTCTTTGAATACTGGCAAAACACTGGCTTGAGAATCAATGTGGAGGAAACTCACAAATCCGGCTAACAAACCCTGTGGGAGGGCAGGAAGGTGTTCCAAGAGCCTCGGAGGTTCCAAGCCTCCTGTCCGAAACAGCAAAGAATTATATTATGGTGTTCCCCTAGACTCTTAGGGACTTTTTTGGAGTGAATTTATCCAGAAAGCTGCTCAAGACGTCCTCCTCTCCACCCAGGGTCCTGGACATATTTCCCGACTGTGCCCAGAGGGTGCCGCTGCCGTCCCAGCCTTAGTCCACTGCTGCGGGTCGCTCCTCGGCCTCGGAGGGAGCCCACTTCGGTCTCCCGCAGGCCGTTGGGCTAACGCGCGCCCGGTAGGGGGCGCCGCCGGCCCAGGCGCCGCGGCTCCCTCCGCCCACCCGAAGGCGGTTGCAGGGAGCGGAGCCCCGCGCGAGTGCACTGCGAGGCGGGCCGCAGGGAGGGAGGCACCGAGAGGGCGCGAGGGTGGCAGCCGGAGCGAGCCTCCGCCCCTGCCCGCCCGGGGCCCCGTGGGGCGCATGGGGTGCTTCGAGTCCGGATCGCGTGCGGGTCTCGCGCCCAGCTGCCTGCTGCGGTGAGAAGCCGCGTCGGGACGTCCCCAGACCCCGAGCTGCCGGGAGGATGACCATGGCCGGGGGCAGGAGGGGACTGGTGGCCCCGCAAAACACGTTTCTGGAGAATATTGTCCGGCGGTCCAATGGTAAGAGGTGCATTCGGATTTCGGTTTCCCAGATTTTTTTTTTTTTTTTTTGGTTTTAATCGATGCCTTTATCACCGACGCCTCCCGCTGCACCGTGCCAGCAGACGCAGCAGAACCCCGGAGCTCTGCACCGCCACAGCGCGGGCGCCCGGGGCTGCCACCCGGAGGCAGGGGAAGGTGGGCAGGGCGGGGCGGTGTCCGATGCGCCCCCATCCCAAGGGCAAAGAATCTAGGGGACACCTTTTGGGCCTTTTCTAGTTTCCTCTCTGTCTTCATCGCCAAAAAAAGCGTGACAGTTGATAAGCAAAGTACTGGGAAAAGTGACTGGAAGCTGGACGCAGCAGGAGCGGCAGCGCATCAGTACTGCCTACCACTCCGCGAAGGCTCTCGGAGCTGCTACCCCAGGCGCCTCCTCTCCCCACAAGAGAGCCAGCAGTAAAGACGGGCAACTCTGGGTTATGGTCCCTTCCGGATGGGAGGATGCAGCTGTCTCCACCTTCCATCCCTGCAGCTGAAAAGTCTGAGGTGTAGGGATGTGGGGAGTTGGGACGTGCTGTCAGGGTTGCCTGATTCTGTCCTTTTGCCCACGCACCCTTTTCGAGGTGAAAGATCGTGATGGTCCGATGGTTTTGCTGGATTGAGGTGGGAAGTGGAGGGCACAGGAATAAAGCGGGCTAAGTGGCCACACAGGTACAAATCTCACATTTATTCTCTTCCAAACCCACAACAGTGTTTCATGCTCACCTGTCAATCCCCAAATTCACCAAGCCTATCTTTGGATCCATTACCCAATAAACCTGCACTCATCTGTTTCCCTGTGGTTAAGATGGACAGTGGCGTGAAGCTCCGGGAGGTGAGATTCCTAGGAGCAGGGATGGAAAGGGAACGGATTTCATATGCCTTTTGGACACGCAGCTGAGTGACCTGGGCTCAAGCACTTGCAGAGTCCTGGCTTTTGGAAGGTGCCGCATACACCTGTTCATCAAACAGCTACAACGAGAGGCAGCCAAGCCCCAGATGCTCTTTGCAGACGCTTGGACCCCTCTCTTTCCAGAGACAGATGCTATTCTACTAAGACTGAGGAACTAACTCAGGAAATGGGTTTTAATAAAGTGCAAGTATCACAGTTTCTGAGCCTTAGGAACTTGTATTTAAAACTA